AAAGTTGCCGACTGCAGAGGTTATTCATCTGTGACGTTTGGGATGACTTGTACCTAATTGTGAGCTTTGTGTAACTCTCCCAGCCAGTGAGTCGGTGTGTGTGAGGGAGAAGGTCAGCATTTTATATCATAACATATTCTCTGTAGACAGAGTGTAAAATTTGACAGGATAGTTCACGTTTTAAGTTATTCAGTAGTACTCTACTAAGATTAGTAGTGATGATGTCTGCAACTTTCGTGAGAACTTCAATTTTCACATTAAAAATAAAAACCCAAAATGAATGTCAACTATGACAGCAAATAGATAAGCTGTCTTTTTTTAGGGTCAAAAGGCCAAGATTTCGAATACCCTTGACGAGGAGTTATTTCAAAGTATTTTGGAGTTATTTGTAGACCGTAAATTCTACACCAAAATGACTGTGCTCCTCTGTATGTTTGATACCTGTTATAGTTGTCGAAACTGACTTAAATTCATACGGAAGACATTGAAACTCATTGATAACAAGCAAAATACAAAATGAAATGGATCACATTTGTGTTTCAACAAATGGAAAGCATTTGCCTTTTTCATTGACATCTAACTTTCAGCTAGGATTTCACAGGGCAACTTTCATATTGTCAATAATGTGATAATGTAGGAGGAAAATTGGTTAATTTTTTTCGTGTGACAACTTGGGCTACTACAAAGTTATATCATATCAACATTATTGTGCACTGTACTCAAGTTACCTCCCCCTGATATCGGACTGAACAAGTACGCTCAATGGTCACACCAAGCATTATTTGTAAATATTTTATCTAAATGTTGACTAATATGCAATACTATTCCTATTACAACGAGTATGTGTTTGTCAGTTGAACCATGCACCTATTAAACTGTTTTGTAACTATTACACACTTAAAAATACAGTAAAACAATTTCACAAAGCCGGGAATAGGCGTCCTTATACATTGCCTAACAGCAAGCGGTCGTGATGTGTGGCAGAAAACCCCGATCTCAGTTGCATGGAACTTGACCAATCATCTATTACAACCAGCAACACGTTCATCAAATAGTATATGATTTCATCCAATATAATTGATTCTATTTTTGAAATCGGTTTCACCCGAATGATAAGAGGTTTCCTTAGGTAGTTTTCTAACCAGTGGAAACGGAATTAAATACTAACCAAATTGGACCGGCTTGAAAAAAGTGAGCAATGCATTACTTTCATTCCATTGCATTTAATACTGATAAAACGAATACCTTTCAGGCATTTCAACAAATAAAAAAAAATAAAATGAAAATAATGAATAAAAAAAAAACAAACGAAAAACGAAAAGTAAAAAATACAGACATTTGTAACAACTTATGTACAAGTCACACCACAACTTTGCTTTGTATTCTATGTCATCAGCATCTGGGATGTCAGATTTAATACACATGTTCAGCTCTCTAAACCCATCCCACAACTTCTGAATCTGAACAGCTTTATTTCGGTCATCAAAAAACTCAGCTGCATCAAAATGTTCAAGCAGCAAAAGTTTCTCTGGACCAGTGAGCTCACGATACTCTAACTTTTTACTATCAACGTTTACACAAAGTTAAAAATGTATTCCCAACATTTGCAACACATTTACAAGCTTCAAGACATTCTTTAACTTATCTTTATCTTGCACTGTAGAGGTAAAAGTTGAATTTTCTGTTACGTTTTCCATGCACCTAAGATCAGCGACAAGAAGACCAATTTCAAGGTCCTGATATTTCTCTTTTGTTCTAATAATAGCTAATGGGTATTTACTCTTTGCAGAAACACTCTTGTTCTCATTGATAATGGTAAAAGTCACATTTACAATATGAACTCTCTTTCCCACATTAGTGCCATCCCTAGAAATTTTAATTCTGATGTCTCCATCTGGTGCAAAGTTTTTCTCCATATCTAATATATTACACAACACAATTACCAAGTGTTTTTTCAGAGATTGTTGAACACCCAAGACCATCTGGAGTAATTTCAATATTGAACTTAGAATTTAATTCAGCCACAATCTTACTGATAGCATAATTTCTTGGAAGTACTTTAAATAAGATATTAAATTCATGGTATGCTTCATTACTAATATATGAGGGTATTTATGTCATCAACATTTTGATTCAACTCTGAATTTTCTTTAGATTCGTAACCAAAATGTTTCAAAACTTCTTCTTTGTTATTTTTCATAACCGTAACTGAAATAGGAGTAACCCCATTTTCTGTCAGAAAACTCAATGCTGTTCTACACTTATCTGTGTCTCGTTTCCTAAGTTTTGATTGATACCCAAGGCGTACATTCTGTGAATGGTTTGTGCTTCAATGTTTTTTTCATTTCTTGAGTTTCTGTTGCTAAACTAAACTTACATAACTTTTTTCTTAAGTCATTGTTTCCTTTTTCCTTTTCTTCTAACTGCCTCTGACCGACTGCCTTTATTGTCTCAACCATTAACTGTGTCTCTTCCTTGTCAACCATGACATCCAAACTATATTTTGAAAACCGGAGTCCCTCCTTAAACTTCTTGATCTGATTCCCACCCTTTACTTTAGCTTTCAAAGTATTTGTCTTTAATCTGAAAAGCTCCGCTCTTAAATATTTAAGACTAAGGTCATTTGGCAAAAGTTTAAGTGTACAATGCTCTTGCACAGCTAAAGAAATTTGTTCAACTGTTTTTAGATCTAAAGCTTTCTTCCAAAACTGATCTGATGATAAAATCTCATACAAAATTTCTCTTACAACCATTTTCTATGATAGTATAACTAAGATTTCTAACCAACAAAGTCATAACAGAAGTCTTTTGATTATTTAAAGTAAGGGTCATTAAGGAGATGTGGCAACATTCTGTGGTTGTCGGCACACTTAACAAAAGTAAACACTAGCTGTGTTCCTCTAGAATTTGAACAATTCCAGTTGATCACTCTCAGGTTGCTTCTTGATTTCATATTCTCTCAAATCTCTTTGTACTCTTAAACAGAATTTCAAAGTGGCAGTCTTAACATAGCAATTGTCTCCTTCTGCATTCAACACACGGTAGTCCCAAGTTTTCCTGAAAATTTTGGTCAACATAATTCTAGGTGAAATAGTATATGTGGTCCTAGATCTTGTCACTTTGTGGACAATTGCAACATCTCTTAATATTTCAAAATCTTCTTCAACTAATGGAATCCTTAGGCATACGAAACTGTCAATCTTGGTACAAACAGTAAGGTGTTCTTTGATAAGGACACCTAAATCCTCCAGGGCCTGAGGGTTGTTTTCAGTTTCAATGAATGGTTCCAATTTATCTTCTTCTATCAGTCGATCATATTTTTAACTCCAACCTGTAACAGAAATGGAATAGAATACAAAAATATTTGTATGATATAGAACTATAAAAATGTCTCTGCTACCTTATAATCAGTGGATCGCTATATATAGTGACTTGGGACAGGGTACAATGTGGCAGACAGATGGACATGGGTGCAATGCTTGATCCCCCTCCCCCTATTTAATGGCAAAGGCATCATAAAATCAAAATAAAACTAGCAAATTATAAATATGTGCTTATATATTTATATTGTTTAAATGATTTAGAGGGAATTTCCAAATTCATTCAAAGTTCTGTCCACAGATCTCGAAAAAAGTATGATTGAAAGTAGAAGGTTATAATGATGCAGTGAAAAACACTGTTAAATATTTCATTGATATACACATCATATTTACCAAATGCTATTCTCAGGGCTTTATATAGATATTGTTAATTCCGATTTCACTCGGAGTTTCAACTGGAATTAATAAATTGAAAACATTTAATTTGACAGTTACCTATGAAATGGATTTTCACATAGCCACCGTTAGTTTCTGTGTCGTCTAATATCCGAACAGGATATAATCCAGGAGTCCATGTAGGCCTATCATCTGCCCTGAGACACTTTCCCCTTGCAGGTCCAATATCAACAGAATTCAGTTCTCTGAAATCATAATAAATTGACGAATTTCATTTCGACACTACCCGGTATATAATGATATATAGGCATAGGCTTGTTTGGGATGGGATTGGGGTTATGTCGAGGAGACGGGATTGGGATGTCAGTTGTGGTTTGATTTGTTAGGCGTAATGTCCTACAATTTTCACGAACAAATTTTCCCCGACACCGGATTGCAAAACTAATAACTCCTGTATCACTTCAGTCTAAAATCAGAATCTATTATTTCAACACTCACTTCAACTGTAAGTTAACATTGATATCATACTCACTTATAAGAACCTACCGTTTCTCCAGTAGCCCCAGCTTAGCAATTTGTAATTCTCCGCCTTCCTGCTGTTGCAGTTTTTCTTTTCTCCCGGCCTCAGGATAACAAGGGCAGATAACTCTAATTCGTTGTGCAAAATAAAGTTGATATGCTCAATAAGGAAGCTTAAGGTTCTCTGGTGACCATGCAGATGCGGCTAGTATCAGGGATCTCCCTTCAGAAGATGACCTATCGACGATTCCAGAGGATGATTTCAACACTGGGATCAATATGATGACGGTGTTATCTCTACACGTCGAGACCAGCGACTATGAATTGAGCCTTATAAAAAAAACCCAGACCTTTGAGTTTATTATTTAAATTTAAACCATATATCTTTTTCATAGTGATACATTCGCGTGGCTTTACAGAGGGACTTCCACATAACTATCTAACTATGGCGGTTACATGGCTGACATACACCCTCAACAAAAGGATATTTAAAATGGTACCATACAACCTTAACGATGAAATTCTGTTGTTAATTCTAGGTACAAATATGAATATCAATACTTATATCCTGACGGATGTACATCACAAAAAGAAACTCATATGAATATTTACTTGGGTTGAATTCATGCTCAATTTAACTTTATTTAGAGATGCTTTTGAAGTTGGTGAGGAAGAGGAGAGCGGCGGTAGTGATTTTGAACAACGTCAGCGACACTTTTTTAAACGCTGGGCCGCTTAGGTACAGTACGTACTGTTAGCACCAAGATGGCGAGTACAACGCAATCTCCACATTGGGAAACGGTTGGGAAGGCAAAGAAAAGTGGCAAAAGCCAAATTCCTCACCTTACACGGAATGAGAAAAAGCAATTTATTGAAAATATGCCCAGGATCGAAGCAAGTAGTAAGTGAATCTCTGAATATTAATGATTACATACTTCATACGAACGGTACCGGCTTTTCGTCAACGTCATCAACTTACTTTCACTTATTCGTATTTCGACAGTTGTGTAACGTCACACGGTTTTATCTTTGATATATTTGTATTTTTCCGTTTTGTTATTGTTTATTATTTGTTAATTCACTATGTTGATTTGAATTAACACGACATGTTATAAAATAAAGTTTTATTTGTTGTTATCGTTTAGAAATCGGTTCCGGACCGCTATGTATTTCGGACCGGGCATTTTATTAAAGTGTATTACGTGAATTATCTAGTTAAGTGAAGTTTATTTCCGGTGCAGGTTTAGATAAATCCTCTTCACCGGACTAAAAATACATATAATACCTAGCACATAATAGATGTACAGTGTAGTCAAACTTGTCAAATACAATAGATTCGTTTTAAAATAGTAGTAATAATAAAATGAGTCATACAAATACAGAATAGGCGATCGGCTCTATAATAAAAAAAAAAACAGGTCTTGATTTTCCCAAAATTTGTCCAATCTATTTTAGAAATATTTAAGGTTTGGTGCAATCACAGACTCCAGTACAGTGTTCCAGATGTGTGCTGCTCTTATTATAAAAAAGTTCCTTCTTTGGGTTGAATTAGCCCCAGCAACCTCTCATCTAGATGCTTTTGATTATTGCATCATGTAACATTTAAGGAATGAAAAAAGTCTGTTCATCATGAAATATTATGCATTTTGTCATTGGCAAAAAATGTATTTTTTTTTCCTCATACACGTGTATATTTTTTCCTCATACACATTTTTACATGTTAAACATCCTCTCATATATGATGTCATCTGTCAAGTGCATAAAATCAGCCATGAGTAAGTGGCAAGTATCACTCGTCCCTCCCCAATGAACAACTTAATAATAAAAACATAATGCTGTGAAGAAGTACAATATTGCAGCTACATAAAGGTAGATTGTATTAAGTGAAATCTTCAGGGTTTTGAAAGGGGCAGAGCAAAGGCTACATGCATTTAACCTTTGACCCTTCTCCCACCACCCTGGTAGGTGTCAGCTCCGGTGTTCTGACTGAAAGGTACGAGGCAGAATCAATTATGGTCCAATTAAGGGTATACTTGCACATGATAAGTTAACTGATGTAAGGCAATGCGTTGATTGAAAGAGGATGACAAATGGCAGTATTTTCTATTTGTAACCGATCATATAGTTCATTTTATGAAAATTCTTCCGGTGTAAGCGTGTCGGATTATGTAAGCGAGGCTGATTTTAATATTTTGACTGATCTCATACAGCAAGAGGAATAGATAAGTTGAGATACCCCATGTGGACATTTTCAGGGACGATTTTAACGATATTTTGAAAACAGAATGTGGAGACATTACTTTGACTCAGTTGGAATATTCTATTCCGACACAGTCGTTATCGGTATTTGGAAATGAAACAAAACAAAATTCTACAAGATTTGGTCCCACTCTTACATCAGGCTATGTCGCACAGAAACATTTGGAAAGGATTCCGAAAAAAACTAGGGACTAATACTAAATGGTGTGTTTAGATATGGAAGTTACGTCATCTTATGAAATCACATCACCACGAAGACCTATCTTCAGTATAAGGATCAGTTTCTACAAATATGTCACAGTCAATCCTCGGCTCTGATTGGTTGGAACGTATGAAAATAACAAAACTGCTGTCTAAATGCAATTTAAAAACAAACTCCGCTATCATTACTGCAAGAACTTCAAGTTAATATTTAGGTATAACAGGAAAAACAAAATAAAAACTACAAAATAACCAGAAGATGGATAAACACATCAACAACATCAATACTTTCCTATAGACGTCAAAGACATCCTCATCCCATCCAACTCCAGAGCAAGAGACGTACATCTGCAGCAACTTGCATTTAAACTTGTAAATGTGACAAAGGACTGAGCAACAACACCTTGGAATCTCCAGCTGTTCAGAGCATGAAATTATAGGGGTTCAAGGCAAAAATCCCCTTAAAATCTCACACCACAACCATTTTTATCTGCAGCTTACCCTCACAAAACTTTGAGAAAAAAATATTGCACCCTGTATATATAAACTTTTACTTGCCTCTGCGCGAGCTTTCCACACCACTTGAAACCCAGCATATTAATCAATATTAATAACAGTAGGAAATCACAAACAAGACCATAGTATCTATATGTTATTAAGTGACATGTTAGAGCAAATTGTCCATTAACCAATGAAAAATTGAAACTGTAAGAAGAAATGTTTAGTTCACTTAAAAATTCAAGAAGTGTCCTCATGTTTTTTTGTAAGTATTACTTCACATGAAGTTGAACATTGGTAACTAGTATACAGAACAGCAACTGACACCAAGATATGATGGGAAAATAGTTTTAATAGAAATGGAAAGAACCAAGCACAGAATAGAACCTCATGAGAAATGTCAATTGGAAAGAGAAATGTACTGGAAAAATCATTATGAAAAATGTTTGATACCATAAAACAAGAATATTTCATTAGAAACAAGTAAGGGGATCTTGGTTGTCAGTTACATTTTTTAAGTAAGGATTTATGCATTTGCTTATTGTCAAATCCATACAAAATATTGGCCCAGTCTTAGAATCGTTAATCTCACTGTTCATGATTTGAAGGATTGTGTGATGTTTTATTTACCGAAAGTTTATATCACAATCTTCCAAGAAAATACAAGTTGAACTAATATTTTCAATCTAAAACGTTGTGATTCCATGCTAGAATAGCTGTAATTGGACTGATCAAATGATCACTGTTTTATCTGCAATTTTTTTTTTTTTCAATTTTTTCAGAACCACTTAAAGAATCTGTGACCATGTATGATGCATTTTTGGAAAAGGAAAGGAAGGAGGAGTTAAAAGCTAGCAAAAGTCATGAAAAATCCTCACCAACTAGTACAGCATCTAACAGAGATCAAAATGGTAAAGCTGGTGGTGATAGGAAAACTGTTCAGAATAAAAAGAAGAAACCAGACCAGGAAAAGAAGAAACAAGTGGACTATGCTGAAGCAATATCTGCTGTATGTGGTATAAGTACAATAATTAGTGAACTTGTGGTTGGTGTGGTATGAAATGTATACCATAGCTAGTGTACTACTTAGTGGTGTGGTTAAGTTTATGCACTATATATTTGTAAGTAGGCCCAGTGGGGTATATAAATTTATGCACTTCAAATAGGTATGTACAGGTGTAATTGTCAGTGGTGATTCCCAAATTAAACCATTTAATATTCTCTAGTAATTTCCCAAATTTACAGTCTATTCTTGAAAATACGCTTTTCAAAATGAGAAATGAAAATCCCTGTCGTGTTTAATGATCTGCAATGTGTAGTTGATAACATATAAACTCTGTTATGAGTTAAGTTGTGAGTTTACTTTTGTTTGTCTTTGGTCGATGTTTCAGTCAGTACAATTTGCAAGTAAATGACATGTAAGATATTTTGTATCTTGATCAGTCCTTAGAATGAAAGGAATAAAAAATAATCCTGGGTTAACAAAGAAACAGACAATAGTGTTTAAGCTGAAATATCATGAAAGTGCATGCATTTGAACGTATTCAAAATGTTCTCTGAAAGTAATTGGGTAAATTTGTATTCCAGATCACCAAAGATGAGGTGAAGTCAACCTTGACCTTGACCCAGACACGGTTCCCTGACAACCTGGAAGTATGGCTCAAAGATCTGGCATCTTTCTTAAACCTGAAATTAGAAAAAGTGCCAGAGTCTGACCCTGTCTTCACTAACAAACCCAAAGGTAAACATTTCAATACATTATACATGTACAATGTTTTGGTCTTGTCTTCCTATAACTGTTGCTGTTATGAGGATATTGTAGGTGATTGGTAAATTCTTGTAGCTTTTTGTTTTTTCATAGTTTTACATGTTTATACCTTTAAGCTTATTTTAGATTTAATAATGCTAAATTTCTGAATGTCACTATTGTTGAAATGAGATATCTAGATATTTTGTGATTTATAACCATTATCAACCTCCTTGTCTCAAGCTTTTATCTTACTTTGAATCTTGTTTAAGTACCCTCTAAAGTCATGTAATGGAGTAACATTACTTTAAATGTATAAATATTATGAGAATTTTTAACTTGATATATCATTGGTATTTACAGATTTCCCACTGTGCCACCTTGATCGTCATTGTCAACAAACAATCACATCTGTGATCAAGCAGGCTTCCGAGGACACCAAGGAGCATATGTTTTATCACTGTGTGAATACCATGCTGACGGAGCTGAACAAGGGTAAGAATGTTGCTACTTTTAAATGTTTTATAAGGTAAATCGTAACTAATATATTTGATCTATGAAGAGATAGAGCCAACACTGTAGTAGTGGATTACAGTATCTTCGTTGCCCTCCTGGATAACCGAAGGTATGCAAGGGGTTAAGGAGAAAGGGAAAACTTAGAGTAAAGATAACTCCACTAAAGTATTTGATATTTTAATCATTTATTTGATCTAACTTTGAAATTCAACTAAAATCAACTGAAGAATACATTTCAGGTAAGAATTTCACAGTTTGAGCATGTTTAAAATTAAAAGAGTACTCTTAATTCAACACTTTATCTTTATGTTGACAGGAAACTCCACCCTTGGGTACCGTATCTTTATTCAACTGCTTGTTAAAGTTAGACCAGATGTTGCTTTGTCCAAACTGGCCCAGGTTAGTGTTGCTGTTGTTTGTTTGTTTGTTTGTTTGTTTGTTTAAAATGCTCTACAACTTTGTTGATTCCTGGTAAAAGATATCAAAACCACAGTAAAATTACATTTAGCTAAAAAAATCTCAAATGATTTTCATGCACTTTTTAACAAATTTAGAAATAACCTTTATCAATGTGTTAACATCTTTCTTCACCTGAACTTTTTTTTCTTTCAGTTTCTGGAGCTTTTGAAGACCAACCAGAACAGGTCCAGTAGATGTTTGACCATACTTTGGTCACTTGGGCAGTGTGGTCACCTTGACCTGAAATGTGGACTGCGAAGTAAATATTTGAAATAAATCATTTTGCACATTTAGCATGATTCTTTACAGTTAGATGTGACAGCTTTTGTGCACATATTGGAACACAAATTTTAAATAATAGTACCCTAACATCCTCAAATAATCCCAACATATATGAAAAAATTTTGAATACTAAGTTACTGCTCAAGTGTTATGATTGTGGAGACCACATGGTGAAAAATAGCTAAAGTGGGATATAACAAGTAAGGCTTACATGTCATATTTATGCTTGGAGTTTTGTGTCAGGTTCATGATAGAAGCTGTGCAGTATGGAGGACTAGTGATATAGATATCTTACACTTTTCCATCAGATGGTGGACTATTCAAATGGCCCTACATCTGTTGTCCATCCATTATGAATTATTAATTGTCATTCCTGTTTCTTGAGGAACACGGGGTGAATCTTTTTTCAGATTTCATGTGTAGGTACCATTGGTCCCTAGTTGTGCCCTTTTGATTGTGGGACTAATCAGGAAATTAAAATTGCTGAGAGGCAGCCATTGTGCATTTTGCAAATAGAAGGTTGATATTGCAATGTCTTGAAGTACTAGATGGCACTTTCTCAAATTTCATACGTAGGTTCCCCGTGGTCCCCAGTTGTTCCTGTTTGATTTTGGGCCGGATCAGTTTGTTATTGCTCTTACATGAGAAATGATGTATAGATTTGGTAGTTTGGGATTATTGTCACTATTTCTTAAGAGAAATTTGAAATTAGATATAATCAAAATGAGAAATAGAGGAAAGTGGAAAAGATGCAACTTTTAAAGAACAACAAAAGATTGAACAAAGATGGGAGCCAAGATCCCTCTGGGATCTCTTATTTGATACTGAAATTGGCCATTACTTTAGATAAATCTCTATATATTGATCTTATAAATTCACTGATGATCTAGCAATACCTGGTATAAATAAGTAGTTGTTCTGTATTATATGTCAATGTGGATGTGTGATGGACTTGTTTCATTCCTTCCTACCCCACTGTGGGTCTTTAATGATTTTGACTGTATTATGAATAGATATATAATAGCCTGTATATGTATTGTGTTCTAGCGTGGATTGAAGTGATGCAGCCGACCCTGAAGGTGCGACCAGTGGCTAATTATTGTGTAGACTACCTGGAAGAACTGCTGGAGTAAGTACAGGACCATCTTTATCGTGTTTACAAGTGTAATCACTCATTGGCAAGTGTTGAATATCTTTTAAATGCCATCAAACATTTTGTAAAGGATGTGTAATGTTAACTCTTAACAATTCTGTGGAGATAAAGATATCTTTTGTTAATCATGTGCAGTTTTCCAGTTTCAAACTCTACAGTTGTCAGTTTTTTGTAAATCTTCAATTTATGTTGAACACTCTTCTTGTTCAATGTTAAATATACATATGACCCCATGGCTCTTGGGCTTCCAAATACTTGCTGTAATGTATGAAATGTAACTAAATGTCCATATTTGGTTTGGTTCAGTTAGTATCAATATCTTTGTACACTTTGTTTTAGGAATAAGAAAGCCCTGAGTACAGTGTATGGGGTGATCAGTGTTCGGGAGTATTTTTACTTACTTGATCTTATATTTGGGGACCGTCAGATGCCAGGAGACCTCAGTAGAAAGCTGCAAACCCTCTACCCTGACATCAAGGTAAAGACATCGTCAACTTTTCTTCATACTTCGGCATCAAAAATAAAGGATTTCTCATTAAAATTTTATGGAAAAGATATTTTTTAGATGTTATTAATTAACCTGGTAAGTTTAATTGTTATCATATTCCAAAAAAGTTGGAATCTGAAAGTTAAGAGTTCACCTTTTGAACCTGTATATTTAAGATGGTTAAACTGAGGTCAAGGTCCAGATTAATGTGTTTGTGGTGTCTATAACTTTGCGACCAGTACAAGTTGACCAATCTTGGGTCTATAAACCCCCACATTCAGACCAAAGTCAAAGTATTATCGAGTTCTGATTCACTGAAAGTGGTTGATCTGTGATTTGTGGGATCAAAATGACAAGGTGGTGTGTTGCAACACAAGCCCGAGGTCAGTGTCAATTTAAAGTTGTCCAGGCTACAGATTAAGAATCTGGATTTTATGTCGGAAGTAGGATCAGAAACATGTTTTTTTTATATATACTCCTTTACATTCCACTTGCAATGAGTTTGTGGGAGCAATAATGTATCTGTTTTACTGGCCATATTTGGTCATTTAAGCATTTCAAAAATGATGAATGAGCGATTTTGTGTATATATACAGGGCTCTCATTTACAGCCGACTTGCAATGCAAAAAAGTTTGTTTTTTCCCAATTTAATTTTCCCAATTCTGGAAAATGCCGCTATTTTTCCATATTCTGGGCATATAAGCCCCATTTCAAAAATGGTGAATGAGCGATTGTGTGTATATATATATGAGATGAGGATGAAAGGATATGTGTTATGTTTGTGCCTTTGTTCACCTTTTGAACTATGTTGTATGATGATTTAAGAATAATACTTTGTTTTCCATGTAAACATATTAGTGCTAATATTGTACGATAACTTATGTACTATGTTAGGGTTTTGTAATGTCTATTTATATGAATGTAAAAGACTTGGAAAATTGAAGAAAAAAAATAAAAATCCAAAAAGGGTTAATTGGTTTTGGTTGAAGATTTTATGCGAGTCTTGGACTAACATTAATGATTTTTTTTTATTCAAATATTGTTATGGAGTGTACCGGTATACAAAATGTGCAGGTAAAAACATGAGTATGTTATATTCATAGAGCCAAAGAGGAGACAATTGAAAGTTTACACAAGCTGTGACAGTTGTTTTAGTTACAATACAATGTTCACGGTACTTAATGTGAGATTTAAAAGAAGAGTACACAGCAAGTTTTAAACAACTCTCTTTATTTACAGACAATTGTGTATGGTGGTACCACAGCTAACATGAGAAACCTGTTCCCATCGTATCTAACCAGAGCTACTGCCAACACTTCTCGTCTGATGATGGCTGAGGTAACTACACATCTTCCAATAAGGTTTCTTATGTACAGCTTGTTGAAAATTCTTGTAGCTGATGTCAAGTCTGCTTTACTGTTTGTCCTCTCAGTTCGTTGCTTTTGTACAACTTGTTGATGATTCTTGTAGCCGATATGTCAAGCCTGCTATACTGTCTGTACTATCAATTGGTCAAACAGTTATATACAGTTATAGCATAAAGATGCTGACACATTGCATAAAGGTTCTTCTTGGATCAAACATTGATGTTGAGGATAAAAGATAAAATTTTACAACTTCATTTTTTCCAACTTTTTGGAATCTATCCTTAAAAATAATTACAGTGTAATGGTTTGTGGGCATGATAGGTAACACATATTGCTTTGGCATTGTATTCTTGTTCATTTTGTCGACTTTCTTTGTAGTTGATGTCAAGCCTTCTGTACTGTCTTTCAACGGATGAACAATGCTACAGTGTGTGGGTGCAGATGTACACCAAGTACATACAGCAGTCCAGGTAAATCTGAAAAGCAGTGATAGCATTGAAAATGGAATTTGTTTAAAATCTTTGAATAGCTTGACCTATATTATATGTTTGTTTTGTAACCCTCGGTGCTTTACTTCTACAGCATGTTAATGCAGTACTTGCTTGATACCTGGGACACCTCAAGCAAAATTCTGGACAAGAAGTTACTAAAGAAGACTCTTCGTTCTTTCTCCATCACCAATGATGAGCTGGCTTCCCGAGGCAAATCCAGTGTAGAAGGGCTGGAGCAGTGCTCTGTTGTTTGTAAGGTAGTTATAATTTGACTTATCTCCCTTTAACTGTTTTCTTTCCTCTTGTAAAGATTGGTGTTTAGCCATATAGAGAAGTGGTTTATCCAAGCGTCGAATTAAAAGGACTGAAATAAGTGAGTGACGAACAGTGTGTTAAATCTGCTTACTGAGCACTATCCCTGTATCGTGGTTCTAAAACAACATTGAATACCACCAGACATATTGCCACACTGACTTTACTATGTGTTATCTTGTGTCATTAAATTAGCGACTCGTTTGATACAGCTAGATAGCATTTTGTGCTGTACTACACATGTATGTTTACAGCATAAAATTTTGATTTAAGCAGTCAAGTTGAACTAACACTATGCAATCAATAGACACTATGCAGTCAAAGCTCTGGGTCAGATGTCAAACAAGACTAAGGTTTTACTTTTCTGTCCACATTCACACATCAATGTTAAGAAATAGTGTGTGATCAGTTTCTCAAGTAGGATAACAGAAACCAAACTTAGTATAGAGTTAGATCCTAGGGTGTACAAATCATATCAGGACACAGAGATTTACATTGCATGTGTATCTTGGTTCATTTTTTGGAGTGAAAAACAAGGAATTTAGGTGAATTTAGAATTTCCTGTTCACTTATTTCATGAATAAGTTTTGTGTCGTTAAATATTTATTAATTTGAAAGAGTCAAAGTGGGAACAAAATGGTGTATAATTCTGTGGAATTCTTGTTGTGGTTTTGGACTTTGTATTTTTCATCCATGTTAGAACGCTGTGTTTAGCTGTTTTTCAGAAGGTATAATAACTATAGCCACCAAATTCAGAAAATAATTAAGCCATATAGTGTACAACTCAATTGAGGACAAAATATTGGTGGGAAGTGGACACGTAGAATTTTAGTGGTTTTTGGAAACTTGGCAAGATCTTGAATAATTGTCAGGAATATAGGTATTATGTACACTATTAATATTACTACAATATTTGGAATTAGGATTTTTCTGTCAGATTTAAGCAGATGATTATTTTTCTGCATTTCATGTTTTTGCGAGTCAAAACAGCACTTCATAATTCCACAAATTTTATTCACAGTTCCAAGATGGAACTGAAAACTTTAAATAGATGGATTGCTTATAATGAAGATAAATTACTCTTATTTACTCTGGACTAAATGTTTCTCAAATGATAAAGCCTTGATAATATGGAACGGACTAAAATGGTATTTATCTTCATGTTTACAGGAACTTCAACAGAAATTGGATCAGACTCGTTTTCCATGGGCATGGCTGATGTTTTTGTTTGTTTCCTTGGTTACTGCAATCGTCGCCTATGACATTTACATCAGCACTTCTATAAAAAGTAAGTATAATAAAAAAAAAAAATGGAAAAGAAAAAAAAAAACAAAGACAACAAAATATCTAGTCTAATATCACCAAGGCCATACAGGATGTAATCTGACAGAATTATCTGGGATGTAGTCCATCATTGTACGTCTCATATATGCTCTGTTTATGATGCAGTTTCATTATAAACTCTACTAACTCTTAAAAAACCAGGATATAAATCTGACACAAGGGAGCGAAATCAGGCATTACTTTTCTTGCAGCATCAGCATCTACATTTGTGTAAAATTAAAAATCATTAAATACGTGCTATTATCATCAACCCTGTTTTATAGTTTTATACATAAGGAAGAGCATTTCAGCTCATGGTTTCAATTTCAATATTAGGTTAAATGGATTTATCGGAGTTGTGGGTCATTGTAATTGTTTGATTTTAAACAATTTCAATTTTTGCAGTAATCAACGGTAATTAGTGATTAGTTTTTCAGTTACATACAAAAATGGTAAATAATCAATTAGTAAATGATTACAGGAAATTAAATGAAGAAATTGATTGATAATTGATTACATTTTGGAGGTATTGAGCCCATCCCTGATTTGTTTATAAATAGCCCGAAGTAACAAGTTTATGTTTAGCTCGGTGGTGAGCTTAATTTCTCCCTAAGTAGATGTGCTGTCATAACCAAACCTGGAATATACATATGTCTATACATGGCCATCCCAACACTTATTGCAGATGTTGAATTTCATCTTCAATGTACCGTTGACCATTTATTGAATTAGTTATTCATATAATGAATACACCATATTGACTTAATCCTGTTGATATGGACCAGTAGGGACATGCAAAACTTATAGTGACGGTAAATTCTCATTTTTATGTACTTGTATAGTGTTAATCAGTTAAATACACAAGATGTGTGGCGTCTTTTATATAGCTTTCCAGTGTCAAGAAAAGATGTCGCTGTAGACTTTGAGTGTGAAACACTATCATGTATGGCTGTTTTGTTTGATGTAACCCTAAATTTATTTGGAAGATAGAGTTATTTCTATGAATTTAAACACCTTATGAGACAATTCTGCAACATCCCAGACAATAGAAATAAGAATTTACACATGGTTTGTTACTACTGCAGCATCCCGGACTATGCAGTTTCTGGAGGATTATGGGATCTTGCCATTTGCAGAACAAGTGTGGGGACGGGTTCACCTCTACACTTCCATGGCCTACGGGTATGTAACAACTTACATCTCAATATTTACCATTGTATGGCAGTGTTGTGAATAATTATCTCATGAATCGAAGCGATGTAGGAATAATTCAAACAAATAGCAGATCCCTCCTATGGTAAAGCCAAATGAAATTTAAAATGACAGATGTTTTTGAATTTAGTTGGTCAATTGGCATTCATAGTGCCAATGAATGCCAACTGAAAGCAGTTCAATACTTCAGTATCTCCTGCCATATGGGCCTGTATCAACAAGCAGTGCTACTGTTATCTTTACATCTCCATAACATACAAGTTTGTATCTACAGCAGTGTGATGCATGTTTCTGTTTTCTCAATGCAGTAGGGTTAAAATCCTGGATGAAACATTCACTATCATTTGTGATAAAATTCAGATTATATCTAACCACCTGCTGGAGTACAATTAATTGACAATCAGTTTTAAACGTTATTTTATTGGATGCAGGGTCTATAAAGTCTGTTATTGTTGCCAGGTATAGGTATTTATTGTGATTGATGAAATTCGTACAAATGATGTTGGAATCATTTCTGGTATTTCATTACACAGGCTGTCAACCAAGTCTTCTTCAGAATATAGGAATATCTTTTCAACAAAATATAGGAGTTTTTCAAACGAGAATCATTTCATTCAAAGGCATTTATACTAATAAATCTTACCTTCACTTACTCTTTCTATATTAATCAATGATTAAAATCTACCTTAAAGTAACCATTCACTTCAACAGCATCACAATCCAGGTAGAGAGCTGCTGCATAGCTCATCATCATCATCATCTGAATGGGCACCTAAAAGGCCAATATCCTATTGTACTGTCTGGCAAGGTGCCCATACAGGTGATAAAGAGATGCACTGAATCATTTTCTGGTGGCTGGTGATGCTGTTAAAGACTTAAGAAATCTCAAACTTGTAAAATCAAGAAGCCAAAAGCAGTATCAAAGAAATATTTACTATCTCTACATTTATCGGTGACAAATTTCCTGAAAAAATATATATAGGCTGTAGGAAACAGCTGATATACAGCCAGTTGAGAGCCTGCATCACATGATTTGTTGAATATTGAATTGTATAATTGATGAAAATTTGATTGACAACTTTGTTCTTTCCTACACAGATGGGTCTGTGTCAATGTGCCACTTTACTACGGTAAGATGCAAGCATCTGTGGGCCCTTACATGTGGCAGGCATGGACACGGCTGCTGCAGTTCTGGGGCCAATTCCTTGAGTTTACAGCGCCATTCAGACTTTGGGCTACATTAAAGTTATCGCAGTGTTTAGAATGGGTAAATAGTTTATAATTTAGTCATTACACATTGTGGATACGATGAAAATTTATCCAAATGTTTAAAGTCTTTGCCTGCTGGTGCTGATCTTACCGTCTCCCACTGAAATTATGGATTCAAGATCTAGTATTCCAGTTAGACTTTTGAAGCGGTCAGTATTCTGCTGTCTTTGGACATTGGAAGTTGATATAAGAAATGCAAGTGAAATAATTACCGGGTATGACTCTTCATGTGATAAAGATATAAATTGTAATGTACCACAAGGAGACTAGAAAGCCTAGTCACTGTCTATCTGGTGGTTGTGTCCTGTAGTTGGTGATTAAAATTTATTTACCAACACTTGTAAGCAAGACATTTTACAAATTCATATTTGATACGAGAGAAACACAATTTAAATCGTTTTGCATTTAAACTAGACAATCAGTTATATATGTTCAGTAACAGGTAAAAAGGATGAAAATAATTCAGACCACTTATTATTACATATATCAGATGTACTGTGTTGATAGATATCAATTATTTATAAAAATTATTATTCTGTGTTTGTAGATACACGGGCTGTCACCAGAGCTATGGACACAACTTTGGAATTACATATGGCTATCATGGGATTTCTTTAGGGACTACACCTTCTGGATAGGTGGCCAAATGGCCAACCTTCTTTATATCGCCTACCACTGGGTGGAAGAAAATATTATTTTGTAAGTATGATTATTTTGAAAACTTTCGAAAGTAGTATGTACATTGCCTGTAAGAAAGTTAGAGGAAATTGTAAGCAAAAATCAACTTAGATGGTTTGAAAGTCAATTGTTTGACGGTTTGGTAGATATGGAGATTATTTGATAGATCGTATGGTAGATATGGAGATCATTTGATAGATGGTACGGTAGATATGGAGATCATTTGATAGATGGTACGGTAGATATGGAGATCATTTGATAGATGGTACGGTAGATATGGAGATCATTTGATAGATGGTACGGTAGATATGGAGATCATTTGTAGATATGATAGATCATTTGATAGATGGTACGGTAGATATGAAGATCATTTGATAGATGGTACGGTAGATATGGAGATCATTTGATAGATGGTACGGTAGATATGGAGATCATTTGATAGATGGTACGGTAGATATGGAGATCATTTGATAGATGGTACGGTAGATATGGAAATCATTTGATAGATGTTATGGTAGATATGGAGATCATTTGATAGATGGTACGGTAGATATGAAGATAATTTGATAGATGGTACAGTAGATATGGAGATCATTTGATAGATGGTACGGTAGATATGGAGATCATTTGATAGATGGTACGGTAGATATGGAGATCATTTGATAGATGGTACGGTAGATATGGACATCATTTGACAGATTGTATGGTAGATATGAAGATCATTTGATAGATGGTACGGTAGATTTGGAGATCATTTGATAGATGGTACGGTAAATATGGAGATCATTTGATAGATTGTATGGTAAATATAAAAACTGATTGATATCTGGTAAGTGAACATCATAGGTATGATATAAAGTGATATATTAGGTGGTAGACAGAATCTTAGATATTTGAAAAAAAATGATAGACGTAAAGTCAGATATCCGGATAATTTATACTGAAATTCTTGTGACCCATCACTTCACAGAAATTAAATTCTACAAAATATTTTTGTTTTGTTTCATCAATATAAAAATGACATCTTTTGTTTTTCCCTTCAGAAGTGAATATACACCAGACAGTGTACAGAAAGCTCTCACATCAGGAATCTCTTCCCTACATCATGCCTCTTCCAGCCTCTTCACCTGGTGCCGACAGACATTTCTTCTAGTAACTAATGGATCTTAAAGCAGACTTTTCAGATAAAATAAATTTAAAAAGTTGCTTTCATCATTTGCTTTGAATGTAGGTCAATTGCCTGAATATTTTAAGAAATGTTCTGAAATTTGAATATAAGTGAATGAAATGATTTTGTGTGAGATATACAAATTTTTACAAGGATCCTGAAAAATTTTGATACTTAAATACTTGACTAAATGTGTACTTAATGCATTCAAACCAAATAGTCTTCGAAACCAAAATGTCTTCAACCAGTCAATCTAGCAGTCTTTCTCTGTACACTTTCATTATAGATATATGCACAAGTTTTTGTTGGACTGTCCAGATATATTTTTATATCATTGTCTCATAATTAAGTCTAATAGCCATATTGAAATGGTAACATATACTTCATCTGAGACAAATGGATTGGTTTGGTTGCTGTGTTTAATCACCAGTACTTTCAGATCAACAATTGTAAACATAAAACACTGAGGCCTCATTCCTGTGTTCATTCAGAAAATGAATCAATTCTGAAGTGAAATAGATCATTATTATCAATTGAATTCAATTGAACAGTGGTTGTATGAATGTTGCTTTCCAACATTGTCATATGTTAAGTTTTGATCGTGAAACCAATCTGGTATCCTATGTCACATTTTACATTGCATGCATGATTTTATTTATACATACATACAATCATTCAAAACTTTCCGCAACATAGATATATCACAATTACTGACTGCAGCAACACATCACCAACCTCAACTATGTAAAAACAAAAACATGTATGAAAATTTAATGTGTTCATGTGAAAAATTTCAACATGTCTTGTTGCATATGAAATATGCTTTAAATTTTATAGTAATTTCCTTTCTTATAGTTAACTTTTTCACTTTATTAACATTGTTGTGTTTGTTTATTCAGAAAATATCTGAAATTTATTCATTGTCAAACATTCAAAGCAATTGATGGATCGATATTGGAGAAGCCTTGGAATTTGCTGGCCTCAGTAATAATTAAATTTGCTTGCTTTGCAAGTTTCTGGAAAATGTCTCATATTCTCTTCTCAAAACTTTGTAACTTTCGTTTCTGTGAAATTCTCTCATACTGATGTATGCATTGTGCCATATGGGTCTTAAAGTGTCCAATGTTTTACTGGAAGATAAACACCCAACCTATTTTCCACTTATTTGTTTCTGTTGGTCAATTTTAACCATGTGTTATGGCTTAAACCACCCAAAAGTGCTGTAAGCCCAGTGGGGGTTAGGTAAGGGGATAAGTTAGCAAACACGAGGCTTACTAGGTGTTTTGTAACTTAATTATCTAAGGGTTGAGGTCCTCCTATACACCAACAATGAAGATGATATGACATTGTTGATGTAATGTCACTGCATTGTTACATGATATCACACCATGGTTGGGGGGTGTTCTCTGGGTGCCAACATTTCTTTTCACATAACTGTCTCTTAGCTGGATATTTACCTGAGATTTACCTGTGTTTCTCATAACCTATCTTCACATGAATGAGATATTTTACTAAATATATAGATATATTTGATGAAAAATACTGAATACTTTTACTTTATTCAGCACATACATAAATAGATTAAATTATTACGTTGAATGATTTCGCACAACACCCAAACATATTTCTAAAAGCATTAATAACATGAAGAGAAAGTCATCTGAAATAAAACTAGAGTATTTGAAATAAAGAGAGAAAGTATGTCATTATGGGTTAAGAAATTGTCACATTTCTGGTATTTGGTATCAAATCTACTAATTTATCTATAAGAAATTATTAAAAGTCATTTCAGTTTCATTTGATTTTATAAACTTTTGGCCTAAGGGCCCATCAATACATTATGTGTACACAAACACACAGTACAATGTATATGTGAATATCGTCAATAATCAAGCATGTGATAATATAAATGTTTGTTATTTAAACTTCACAAAATTATCATAAATATTGTATTCAAAATAAAACTAATATTAAGACATCCAAACATTTCATAAGATATATTAGATATATTTCTTCATACTTGATAAGGGTACAGAGAATAATATCGATTAAAATGTGAATATTGTTTAGCATATCCTTAAATATTTATATGTAAAATGAAGAATCATAAACAAAAACATTGAAAAAAAAAATAACTAAAAAGTAAAACCAGTTGCTGAATGTAAAAAGTAAAACCAGTTGCTGAATGTCAACAGAAGAAGTTTTAAAGGAAAATTTACTTATTGGAACTGATATTACTTTAAGGGAAAAGAATATAATCACTATCAAAACAAACTGCCCTCTGCAGATTAAAAAATGTTGGCACTTAGAGATACACCTAAAGGTTGTTACTGGGGAATCCCCTCCTCTCATTCCAATAGTTAAACACAGCAATTTCACACTGCTGAAAGCATGATACACCTGTCCATGGTAAGATTGTAAGATAATGAAAAGTCTGTTCAAAGTTGTAGGTGTATTTATAGCAAAATATTTTCCTTTACAATATGGCTTTAAAACAAGATACATTTAATGATGTCTTGTGTTTCCAAATATTAATATATGAACGGGTTTAGAGATCAATAAAATGTTGGATTGGTTTATATTGAAATTATGGTGTTGTTGTATGTGCAGATATAGACTCAAAGGTCAAAAGCTGCTTCATAATAGCATGATGATGGATGTTCTATTACCTCATCTTACATCCTAAATGTTGCCTTGAAGTGTCATTTTCTTGTGATGAAATGATGATAACATTCGAAATTGAAATATGAAGCAATCATTTTATACAGCAGAATGTAATGTGAACAGGAATTTCCTGCACTGCAATATTCATTCGTTTCTTCACAGCAACATGGATCTCATTTTTCTACAAAGAGGCATCATAGTTGAAAATTTAGTCTGTCTTTTTCTACATGGAGACATCATGGGAAAACAGAAGCTTATCTACTTAAGAGAGACATCAGAAATCAACAGAAAGTCTTGCTATTTTCTACATAGAAACATTACAGGAAAATAGGAAATTTATCATTTTCTAAATCAAATAATCTCCAGTAAACAGAAAGTGTGTAATTTTCTACAGATAAACCGGAAGTATACCATTTTCTGCATAGCAACATAATGAGTAAACCGGAAGTGTGTCATTTTCTACAAAGCAAGATAATAGGTAAACAGGAAGTGTGCAATTTCTAGATGGCAACATTACAGGCAAACCGGAATAATGTCATTTTCTAGATGGCAACATTACAGGCAAACAGGAAGTATGTCATTAACTACATAGAAACATCTCAGTTAAAATCAAATTCTACATAAAAAACGTTATAGGTAAATAGGCAGTATATCAAATTCTACATAAAGGCGTTGTAGGTGAATAGGCAGTATATCACATTCTACATAAAGACGTTATAGGTAAATAGGCAGTATATCAAATTCTACATAAAGGCGTTATAAGTGAATAGGCAGTATATCACATTCTACATAAAGACGTTATAGGTAAATAGGCAGTATATCAAATTCCACATAAAGACATTATAGGTAAATAGGCAGTATATCAAATTCTACATAAAGACATTATAGGTAAATAGGCAGTATATCAAATTCTACATAAAGACATTATAGGTAAATAGGCAGTATATCAAATTCTACATAAAGACATTATAGGTAAACAGGAAGTACATATGTATATCATTTCCTTTTCACGGAAAACAAATTTCGCAGAATTCACTGTTCCAGGAAAGCACGTAAATGACAATTTGATTGGCATTAACTAGAATCCAATATTTTACAAATTGTTTACTTATTGCTCTGAGGATTACAGAGCAAATGATGCCCCGTCGAATTTGTCACGATATTTTGATTAGACGTACCTAAACAGATATATCTAAAGCTTAATCCTTGGAATTCAAAATACATAACTACCCTACTTACTTAAACTAAGGAGTAATAATGACAGTGCGAGTTTTTTTTTCGAAAAGTTAAACAGAACACAAAGCATGAAACAATATTTGTTCTATACTAATCGATTTGATCTGAACTGTCACGGATATTTTTTTTTTTTCCTCTCAACGTGTCATTCATTGAATAACAAAAGACACGCACTGAATGATAATTTCCATTACACCGAGCTTGAGGTTTCCCAAAGTGTAGGTGATTAATCCAATGAAAATACATTCAATGAGATTTGTATAAGGTATATATAATGTCTTTCCATGAAATAGCTTACGACAACAACACTGAATTCCGTGCCTACTCTCAACTTTAAATGTGATAGCCAAATAGAATTACAGGCGTCTACTTTCGGTTTCAGTAGTCTATTTATTTCATAACCACAGTGAAATCGATGAGGGTTTTTTTTTTAATCTAAAAATAAAACAGGAACAAGAATTTCAAAACAGATATTTATCGACCGTTACGGACTCCTTTATACACAGGAGAAATCAGTTATACCCCATTAACCAGCCAGTCGGTGTTAATGGTCGTGTATGTTACATTCATGTAAATGTTTATTGTCAAAAACATCATGTTACTGAAGACAGTATACTTAAAAGGCAGTGTGTATTATGGTGTGTAGTGGGATTACAAAAAGCTGATAACGGGTTGATGATGATTCACCGAATTTCACCGGAAGACATAGCCAGCAATCGTGTAATAGGACCTGGCGACGCCTGTAAGTAAAATTTCTCGTAAAAATCGCATAAGTATATGTGTCACGCCCTTCCACACTGTTGACTAAAATTCTCCCATCATGCTGTAACACTACGACAGGGAAGGCACACGTGTGTAAGTTATATTGATATCTAGCACTTGCCTTTTGTGAAACAGAATCAGACAGAATTAATATCACCCAACTTTGTTTTTATTAATGATGTATATATTTGTATATAGGACAGAATGAATAATTTTTTTTTCTTTTTTTCCTTACCGTATGACCAATTAAAATAATACGTTATCCCTTCTCAACAAACTCCATATCATATAACCTAGTTACCATACCCAATTGATAATGCTCGCCTTCTCAAATCTAACATCATCCCATCCTACAAAATAATTTTCTCTCCGCAGAACATATCTATTTCATTATCTACTATATTTCTACATAACCAAACTCACATTTATAGTAATTAAAGGTCATAATAGGATTATTAGAGCATGCTAGTTAAAGTCGATAAGTGGCCTTATACAGCTGGATGATTCGGGATGGATTCTAAGTAGGACAGCTAAGATGAGTTAGTTTTAACGGCACTAACACGGAATTAACATCTTTGGTTTTTCGAAGAAGTGTAGGTGTGAAAATGTTAATTCAAAGATTACAGGCAAATAATTAGGATAGAAGGAAAAAACATAAAATTATCAAATTTCATCAGATTGTTCATGGTCAGTGCCCTCCCTACCTAACCAGCATGCTTCCTGAACGTCACTCTAACATCCACTCTTATAACACAAGGAGAGCCGATTCTTTTTACCAACCTCCATGCCGAACTAATCTCTTTAAAGACTCTTTCCTACCTTCTTCTGTTGATCTATGGAATGCACTCCCCGATGCCATAAAACGTAATCCGTCTACTACTACTCTAAAAAGATACCTAAATGCTGATATAACAACTGTTCCTAACTATTATTACTTCTGTAAATCTAGACACGGCCAGATTCACCATGCTCGACTTAGGATGCACTGTAGCTCACTAAACGCACACTTATATTCTCGTAATCTTGTTAACAACTCTCTATGTTCATGTAACCAGTCCGACGAAACTACTGAACACTTCCTCCTCCAGTGCCCTAACTACCATCATATCAGAATGCAATGCTTCAGTAACATACCCCCGACATTAATGTTAATACCTTATTATATGGTAACCCTGATATGCCAGATCAGTACAATGAAAATATTTTTGACTGTGTCCAAAACTTTATTAACCGTTCTAAACGTTTTAATTAAGCTCTAGCGTATCTAGTGAGTTTGTGTATACTACGAAGTAATCTCAATTACAGTACTGACCTGGTCGTGGTATTTTGTACTTTGTTGAGTGAACCACAATCAAATATAGATCTATAGCAGTCCTTAACTCTTGCTTCGTCATCCTACAACGGTTTCCTCCTTTGAACCCATGCACCCTTTCTTTTCCCCTTCCCTGTACTTATGCACCTACGTAATTACATTATGTTGTCAGTGCTGTTCATTGCTCATGTAATTAGATACGGAGACAGATTAATATAAGTACATTGTACTTGTTTCTGAATCCAAAATGCATATTTGCTTTTGTACTGTACTCATTTCACAAAATAAAATACAGTTTAAACTAAATAATTAGGATAAAACTACATCTTGATTAGCGAATTCGCTGAACTTCTAAAATGTATGATATGCATGTGTAAATCTATATGCCCCACCCAGCCGTTTGCCACCATCCGCCAGGGACAACTGGTTCAACGCCGTGATCACAATCTACTGACAGATCATGCGCGGTCGTCTCTCAAAACTACTCCAGTTTCGGACAATCAGACAGATGGCTCCATCTCAAGGGGAGAGTAGAGACCAAGATCTCATGTCCACAGAACACCGATATTTTAATAGACGGAGTCAAATAGACGAGAAAACCCGAAATTCAAAACACAGGTCGGCTTGGTACTGACCCGTAAGGTGGTTGAATACATGTATGTAGTGGTGTAGGCACCGGTGTAATGTCCTTGACTACGATTAATACATGTAAGTAACAGTTGAAGATATCGAAGTATATCGTGATAAGCACCTACTTGACAGAAGGTTTGATTTCAATATAATCTTTTGGGCGACGTTCGTGATGTTTATCTACAGCGTACAAAAGTTTTAATTGGAGACGGGAATAATAAGAACTGACATGTCTATTCGCTGTCTTATTTGGTAGCTCACCAGTGGTGGACCGTCGTGAATGGAAGCCTTCTCTATGACTGATTGAATATACTGAAATAGTTCCGAGGTTATTCAATATGAAATCAATAGTATGCACAATGGGAACTGTAAATTCCAAGTAAACAATACAGCTTACTGCAAATAAAAGCACCACTGTGTTTACTTTTCGCTGACTGTGTAAGGGACCTTAACTAGCGAACTTCTATTCACGAACCTGATGAATACTAGACCCTTTAAGTGTACAAGTTTAATGGATTTTATTTTGAAATTATAAAAACCAGAAAATTTGAGCTCCATTTTCTCTGTAATTGTATAGAGTTTGCGTGCTTACCAACAGTTATACTGTCCACCTATACATGAAAACTTCGACGTTAAATTGTAAAAATGTTTTTGTCAGATTTTATATTATATTGTCAGTCATATTCTTTATGCAATCTTTATGCATAAGTATATTATGCAACTTTGCACGGAGAGTTGAGAATGATTTTTATTATAGTTAAATTTGACGTATATTCTTACGTGGTTAGCAACTGGATTAGAAACACGCGTTTCCTTTTCTTATGATATCACCACTTATGACACTACAAAATCAGATAAGCAAACTATATCTTTGTTTTTCCCTGATAATTAATTTCAGTATTATATCAAATAATCTTCCTACATACCAGCATCCTCAATATTCCAGGGGTTACGATCACTTTCGCTCTCTGCACCCCTGTAACGTGTCATGGCAAAGTTGAAGGAACAAGCGAAGTAATTTGATTGGTTTCAGGAGATTAAAAAAACGTGACAAATCACAGGCTGATACGCACTTTTTATAGATTACGAAGGAGCGACCTCCAACTTCAAATCCACTACAATATACTGGTATACTACCTCGAGTAGGGGGTCGGGTGGGTTGGGGTCGGGGAGGGGGTTGGGAGCGGAGAGGTAGGGATAGGAAGTATTCCGTGTTTCACTGCATGGCTGTGCTAAACGAACGAAAAGTAGTGTCTCACAATATATGTTAGTACCGCTAAGTGTGTTTACAAGTACTAACAATGTATTTCACAGCTTATTATATCCTTCTGCGATCGGTGTACATGACCCGTTAAAATTTACGTGCCTGTTAAGAGACTAGTGCGTCAACACAAATGCACCATTGTTTCTACATATCCCGAGACTGACATCAACACTTCTCTTACGAGGGCTAAAACTAGAACGATTTATTAAAAATCTATTTCAACATTTGCCGTTTATAGTGAAAATATCTCTTAGCATTGTGAAGTTTATCTCGTGAATGTGTTATCGTGGATTTGAAAAAAAGAAGTTCTACAAAGACGACAGCACATGCATTATAACAATGCGATAGCTACCATGGTTAGATAATATACCAAGAATGTTTGATGAAGTCTGCAGGATGACGTGCAGATCGTTATAAGATATATTGTTCGTAAACGAGGAAGTTCAGGAATTCCATTACCAGCGACGTAGATAAGGTAAATATTGAAAGGTCTCTATTTTGATTCAAAGACCATTCTAGTGCCATTGTTTGACCCGTGCTGCTGTAACCCTGTACTGCCTAGAAAATGATCCGGAAAGGCCTGTAGTCACCCTGGTAGGCAATGGTCAAACTGACCTACTTTGCAATAGTATTCTCGCCAAGACTTGGTTGGTTGGTTAATTAATTTTTTTTCCGTCTCCGTGACTCTTCCTATATCTAGGCGTTGTGTCACCGACGAATGGCAGTGTTCTGGCGACGTGAGGGTGCAACCTGCTTCCCCTTCATGTGGTGAAACCGCCTGTCAGGAGGTCCGAAAAAATGAGTATTTTTTTAAAGACGGCTCTGGTTCCTAATAGTACCTTAACTTGTCCATGGCTCCGGTTCTAATAGTACCTTAACCTGTCAATGGCCCCGGTTCCTGATAGTGTCTTAACCTGTCAATGGCCCCGGTTCCTGATAGCGTCTTAACCTGTCAATGGCCCCGGTTCCTGATAGAGTCTTAACCTGTCAATGGTCCCGGTTCCTAATAGTGACTTAACCGGTCAAATGCGTAGCTGATTGGAGGGACAAGGGTTTGATGGGACCTATGTAATGTTAATGTCAATCGAATATCTTAATAATTATGTATTTTATCTTAATCCTATTCTCTAAACCACTGGATCGACGTTATCACGCCTTCTCTTCTTCGAAAAACAACAGGGGGGGGGGGGTCTTCAATACACAGGTAGGATGGCTGTGCTATGTTTTAGACTGTGTGTTAAATTGTGCTATGTTTTAGACTGTGTGTTCAATTGGGCTATGTTTTAGACTGTGTGTTAAATTGGGCTATGTTTTAGACTTTGTGTTAAATTGGGCTAGGTTTTAGACCTTGTGTTAAATTGGGCTATGTTGTAGACTGTGCTAAATTGGGCTATGTTTTAGAATATGTGTTAAATTGGGCTATGTTTTAGAATGTGTGTTAAATTGAGCTATGTTTTAGACTTTTGTGTTAAAAAGGAGTGAAGTGTTTATTCTAACTGGTTACCTATTGAGAAGAAATAGAGAGAAATTGATTCTATCATATACATTGTGTTTTATCCCGAGAGCTGAGTATAAGTAATATTTAAGACTGGGTGAGAGATGGGGTCGGGTATTGGTGGGCTGTTTGTCTTGTATGGTGAAGATTGGATCTATGTCAGTATATGTTTGTCAGTATGCATGTTTGTTTTATTTGTTTAGAATTTCAATGATATTTCCCTGATCAGTTTTTTAAAAATAATGTATGATTGTTTGTTATGAATAGGTGAGTTTTGATTTATCTTTTTTTTGTATATCCGTATGTCCTGTGTTAGATAAACAGACCTGATTTATCGTTCAAAGTTCATTAATCTAGAATTGCCTTCACTACGTTTACTGAAACGATCCATACACCACTGGCCAAAATCTGAAACTCGAATCTGACAGAATGATTAGTTCATTTCCGTAAGAACAAGAGGAGGAGACTCCCGACCTCCCAGAGTTTCAGTAACATAACCTGTGGACGGGTCAATAGCAACCCGGATGTAGCCTCCATGTGTATCCGAGACTAGTTATGTGGTTTTCTTTACCTATGTAAACACACAGATCATCACTTCTAAAAAAAGTACTCGAGACGAGGAGACGAGGCTGAATATTATAGTAAGTACTGGTGTAATTTTATATGTAAATATGTATAGGTACATGTTATCTCTTATAAGAAGTACTCCTGACGAAAATATCCCCTCAAGACTTACCGACAAGGAATACATACTACCCAATTAAATTAAAACAAACTCGTAGGCTTCGGACTCCAATCACAGGGTGTAAACTGCTACGCAGAAAGTAGCAACACAGTACACAAAATACATGAAACACCACACCCTGTAACAAATAACACAAGTAAATGAACAAACACATACACATAAATTGTTTTGAAACAGGAAATATACATATACAGTATACAGAATTATACAGAAGATGTAAATCTTGGATTAAACTGTATCACACAGCTTTTCGTCCTTCAAGAACTCGTCAGTGAAGACAGGGCCTATATTTTCAAACTTCAGAGAGTGCTGATGAAAACCAAAATTAAAAGAAAGTAAAGTCAAAATTTAGACGTAGAGTAGCGCTGGCCTCATGCATGTTTGAATTAACAGAAAATCATTGGTTTAAATGGTGTTCATTATTACATAATCTCGCACGCGATGCACACTTTTTTTTTTAAATCAACTAAAAGTTTCACTTAGTTGCATGCTTTCGCTTCTATTTTTGAAGGCTTCTTTCAGTTTGAGTTTAGCATTGTCTTTTCAGACGCATGGAGTCATTTCTTTCCTTTCAATTCAGAATAAGAAGATGGCAGCTGATTCCGATCTATCTACGTACAGAACAGCTCTTGCCTTCGTAGCCAAAAATCTGGAGAAAGGTAAATATGTGATCTTTTTTCGATGATCTTTCATCAATGGTGTTTCGATAAGGTAGCATTATGTGTAGAGTGTCAGAATCATAAAACATCGACCAGTACAATGTGTATGTTCTGATTCGAAATTCTCAACTGAACATGAATTATTTATTGTCTAAACGCCAACATCTGTATGTGAGTAAAACATATGTGGCAAGCAACATGAGTTTATTTTCGAGACAGAATAAGGAAATCGACAAATAAAAAAAAAATCAGAGATCTTCCTTTGGAGAAGGTCGTTGGCTTATCCTTATCTTCCTGTCCATCTTTATGCCTCTCGATTATATCCTTCCGATAATCGTCCTTTGTAGTGTCGGTGATGTCCTCAAAATGTAGCATTAAATAGCATTGTCCGAGAGATTGTGAAAAAGATACATAAGTGAAAAGCACCTTTTAATAATTCAGAGTTAGATACAGTAGAGTCGATGTATCTATAAAACATCTTCTTGTAGGAGAAACGGATGAGTCTCGAACAAAGGCTTACCTGACTACTCGTACCTGTTAATACCTGAATGTACGTTCAACACCATGCGTGATATTAGATACACGCGACACCTGTCAACTTTTTCAAGCCCCGCCCTTCTCGTAGTGGACACACAGCAATACTAAATTCATTCTAAATACTGATTTGATTGCATGTTTACTTTTCAATTTTGAGGTGATGTTGCTAGTGCGAAGTTTCTCCTTGGCGAAAACAAGAAGTTATTTCCGGCCAGTGATCTGGAGATTGTGAAAACGGGCGAAGAGCTTATGCTTTTGTTGGAGAAGAAGCGATTTGTATCGGAGTTTAACGTCGTGGATCTTGATTCCTTGTTGAAAAATATCAGTTGCAATCAGCTTCGCTCTGAACTCGAGCCTCTGAAAACTAAGCTCAATCTTCAAAAGGACGGTACATTGCATACTTTTTTCTGCTTCTGATGAGATTGCTGAACAGTACAATATTCTTCCATGTTTTTGTTAATCATTGTAAATAATATTCTTTTCCAAATCCTGTTATTAAATTTCTAAATATGTATTTTAGTTTTATTTGTGTTTGATATTTTTGACGTACGTTTAATTTTTAGATTTAATTAGTGGTTCTGGTGTAAGTTTAAAAAACAAGTTAATACTTCATAGTATCCATGATACAAAACATTTGTAGAGTTCCATCTTTCCACAACTTTTTATTTCACTCATATGTTGAGTATAAACAATATTTTTAATAAACATCAGAAGACTGTGCATATAAATTCTTATAATCCTTATAACTTCTTTAAACACTACTGAAATAAAAATAACATCACCTGACTTCTGAAATGATAATTTGCTCATTCCGTTTATAACAATCTTTATTACTTTAGTACTTGGTAAAATACCATCTGTTCTGGCACATAATACATGTATCTTGTAGAATAATTGTGATATTACGTAAATGGCATTGTGAAGATAATTAGGTATCAAAATTTACTTTTAACAGAACTTAATAACTTAATATATATATATATATATATATATATATAGAGAGAGAGAGAGAGAGAGAGAGAGAGAGAGAGAGAGAGAGAGAGAGAGAGAGAGAGAGAGACAGAGAGAGAGAGATGTAACTTAAAGATGCTTTGTGTATCGATTAAATTGTTGAAAAAAAATCATATCAACACGACAAATGTATTCCGCTAACGTTTTCAGGCCTAACGCCATAATGTCGTTACTAAGACATCATAAAAATGTATCGCCTGAAGATGGACGTTAGGCCTGAAAACGTTAGCGGAATATTTTATATTTAGTTTAAACATAAATCAGTATGAAATGTTAGAAATGGATTGGGTACAAGTTATTGTAAATTATGTTCGCCCTGTCCATGATATATAAATATATAAATACTATTCAAATTACAAGAAATGCATGACTTAAATTATCAAAAGCCGGAATTCATATTAAATTAAACGGTTCTGATTGTACAATAACTCTTTAATCGCCCTGATGTATACTTCCTATTTATATTATTGTTAAATATTGTCCGATTTAACGTCCCTGTTAATAGTTGTGCCATTAAATCGCCCTGATGTATACTTCCTATTTATATTATTGTTAAATATTGTCCAGTTTAACGTCCCTGTTAATAGTTATGACATTAAATCGCCCTGATTTATTTCTTGTTTCATATTATTATTATTATTTAATCGCCCTAATCTATATTTCCTACACACAATAATGTTAGAAGTCGAAAATAACTAACGTTAGTAATGAAAGTATTATACCTTTACAACCCCCTCCCCACCCCACCTCCCTACCCCCACCCCCTCCTCCCTTGTTTTGAGTCGTCATTAACTCTACCAAAAGTATGCTATTCTATTAATTTATACTGAAGTTTAACTGATACACTTGGTACGTTTTCGTACACGTATTTGTGTCAGTGTTTTCATTTACCATATTCAGCTACTCATGAAAAACTATGATTCTGTTTTGTTCTCACAGCGAAATGGAAGGTTGGTTACACCACAGTCCCACACTTTTTGAAGGTTAAACATTGTGCCATCTTGGAAGAAAAGCTAAAATCGCAGAACATTGTTGCTCTTATTGGTAAGTGAAAAGTGTGATAATTCGATAATGCGGTCAAACACGATCGAGTTTACAGCTTCATAGTATGGTACTGATGATTTTTTTAAACGAACCTTTACGACCCTATTCTTTGAAGATAGTATAAAGATTTGAAGAAGATATACAACAGATTTGAGGCAAAATGTACCAAATATTTCATGGATGATGAAATGAATATTCGTCCAATGAAAAACGGAACATAGAAGAAATCACCCTATCTCCTCGTGAAATTAATGGCATTTTCATTGAGATGTAGATTTTGCCTTTAAACCTCGCGTTCAAATACTTACAGCCTTAACAAGGTGGTTTATAAGGCCCTAAAAATTTCGGATTAAACCTGAATAACATGGTTCTTCATATTTATCAAGATAGATTATATTATCAAAACTCGATACCCTATATAGATTTATTCAGTAAATATACAACATTTTTACGTATTACAGATGTCTAATATAACCTATTATGACGTCAGGTTTAGACGGTAAAAATGACGTCACACATTCTAAGAACATAAATGTAGAGCCGAAATGACTTTAATGTCGAAATGTCACTTTTCAACAATATTTACCTGAATAATCGACCATGTAATGACAAGGATCCTAGATTCGTTTCCATTTGATGTGTGATTTACAAAAGCTGTCAAATAATTCTCATTTTGATTTGGGAAAGAGTTGATTGGTAAATGACATATCAAATGGGTATTTGTATTCTGACAGAACTTACCTATATATATATAGACACATATATCAGAAAAGGCTACATTATTATCTATATCGAAAGTTTTAATAAGGTTGACATGTTCTCGCAGGTCCACCAGCAACAGGAAAAACTCAACTGGCATGTAATTATGCACAAGACTTCTTCAAAGCAAACAGACAATCTGTTATATGTAAGTTAGATTGTGAAGGTAAAACTGAGCTGATAAAATCTATGATCGACCTGTTGGAGAGCCTTTGTATGAAACCGGAAGGAAATAACGAAGGGAAAGCGAACTACTTGGAGGAAATGGGACAGATGGTAGTAGACTATCTTGGATGTGCAGAGCAGGCCCAAAAATTTCACCTTCTTATTTTTGACGACATTGGAGATTCATGCAACGAAATTGTAAGCAAGATATTGAAAAACATCAAAGAAAATTCACAAAATGTCAAAATTATTGCAACAATGAATGGAGATATTGACCTTGAATGTGATCCACTGAAGGTTACCGGTCTACACGACACGGAGGTAGTTTCTTTCATGAGATATAATTCTGGTTCCGACGGAAGGGAATCTGCTATTTCGAAAGCAACGGACGACGAAATAAAAATTCTTGCAAAACTTTTCGGAAACTCGCCATTCGGTTTAATGCTTTCAAAGCATTACATTGAGAAATCAGGTATGGATATTTCAGACTACACGGAAAAGTTAAAGAAGAACGATGGCTTTATTGATAACACAGAGGAACACACAGAAAACATCGTCCAATATTACAAAAAACGCTTACTAGCAGCACACAGAATCATTTTGGAAAGAATAGAATTAAAACTCAATGATGACGGTAAAATACTTTTGTCTCTAATACCATTTCTGCACCACGAACATATCCAGGTTCGAGTTCTGTCAAGACTTCTGAAGAGTGGATCGACTCAGTGTCATGACTACGAGGACAGCAATGTTATAGGAAGGCTACGCAAGTATGTACTATGTGATTTGAAGGGACTTGGGAATGACAGAGTCATATCAATTCATGATTTGACAAAGGTAGCCCTTCTGAACCGCCTGTCCGTAGAGGAGAGACATGACCGCATTCGTGAGTTGCTTCAGTTCTTTGCCACGAACATGATAATGGATTGTAGATTACGGGAATCGATGAACACAAACCTCCTTTTTATAGATCATGCTATGAACGTGCTTAGAATGGCACAAGGGATTGAAAAACCTTCTGTTGAGATTAGACTGTTACAGAGCTACGTTAGTACGCTTGTTGGTGTGACATTTCGTATAGGAGGAGTTGACAACTTTTTGGTCAACGACTACCTTACGCAAGCCATGGCATTATGTTTAAAGATGGTGGGAGAAAATGTCTCCAGTATTGATTGGTTTCCCTCCAAGACTCCAACGGGCAGCACAACGTATTGCAGTAATGTTGATGCACTTGTTGAAAAGCTTTGTTCCTTGAAAACGAAAATTCCAGAGTATTTCATTCAAGAGCTTATAACCACCATGGTTCGTCCAGACAAAGACATGGAACACTTGCAAATGCGGGCTAAGGATCTCTCCCAGTATTCATTCAAACATGAGCTTGGAGTAGACCTGCATGCCCAGCTCGTAAGGCGAAAGTTAGCAGTGCCGTTGGACCATGTTCGCGAGTTGTTCCTTGTGGAACTTTTGGTAGTGATACTTTACAACAATGGAAGAAATCATTTTCTAGAGAAACCCCGCCGCGGACAGTTGATGGAATTATCTTGGGTGTTAGGAAAACGTCTGAAAGAAAAATATCACAGTTTTCTTCCAATACAATTTCTTATTACCCAGAGGAATGGCTATTTGTACAACCACTTGAAGCTTGCCCTCCCAAAGGACCAGGAAGTGGAGGTTATAAACACTGCTGTGGATAAATACACAGCGATGCTTCATGACAAAGAAGATTACTTTGAATTTGGCGTGTTAAAACTTAGTAAAGTAAGTAAGAACTTCCACCATATAGCGATGTGTCGGAAATTCCAGATAAAGTGCTATTGCCGCCTGTTTAAGCTACATACCGGTGATGAAGAGAAACAGAAAAAAGCATATGTTTTTGGCAAGGAATGTGTCGAGAAGCTGGCAAACCAGATAACAGAAATGACCGGCTTTACAGCGGTGCCAGGACTCCATGTTCAAATCGCAAAATTCTACATGCTGACTCCGCCAGAAGGGGGCAGTAACATAGAAAAAGCTATTAACCATTTCCAATCAGCTGATAAGTTAGAGGAAAGTACTGGAGTAGGGTTGTCACATTTCCGTCTCCAAGCGTTATTCGGGTCGATCGACTGCTACTGCCAGAAAAGGGACAAAGATAGTCTAAAACGTGCGGACGAAATATGTAGATTTTTGATAAGTAATTTGCACTCCTCAAAATCCCAAGGAAGCTTGAATGAAGCAAAGAAGCAACAGGACGAAATAAGCGAAATGTTAAGAGAGGAAAACCCTGAAACATGAAACAATAGAAAGTGAGAGAATAGCTTTAGCCAAGAAAGAGCGCCTCGTTTGACAAACATTCCTGTTTAAAACCATTTCCCCTTCAAGAATCTGTAAAGTTAGTTTCCCTGCCATCTAAAGATAGGTGTAAAACTTTCACGCTAGCGTGCATTTAGCCATGACCAGATTGTGTTCAACAGCGGTATTTTTAGTGAAAAAAACTAAATTCAAAAATAGAATTGACCATGTGAATACATAACAAAGGCCTTGCAAAGTGCTTTATATTACTGTCGGGTATATTGATGTCTTTAAACCACAACATACTATTTAATCATGTTCATCGTATATACCCACCAGAATTGAAAATAACTAATATTCACTCTGTAAGGCAATTTGAAAAAAACTCTGTTGAGGACAAACACTCCAGCTTGTAAGAATAGCATCGTTTTTAGATAAGGAGGACCAAGAAAATTAAATATCATTCTCTGTCAGCTAAGGAATTCAGCCAGCTCTCTAAATCATGATCTACATAAAGACCATCTTAATGATGGCCTATCTTGTGTATCTGTTACTCCAACTGAAACAGCTCGACATTTCTTTTTTGACTGCCCTAGATATATTAACCCTAGAAAAGTTTTTTACAAACCCAAAACAACCATAATCATAACCACTATTAACTAAACTATGTTCTGCCTGGCTGCCCAATCTGTACCACCCACATCAATAAATCATTGTTTGATGCTGTAATTAAGTATATTGATGATACAGAAAGGCTTTGATATCTTGCTAAATATCTACTGACACGAATTGAAATTATAGGAACAAATCTAAAACTAAGACAAAGTATAATTGGAAAAAATTGATATCTTTCCATAGACATAGTTAATTCAACTTTTATCAACAATGTGATGAATGCTGGTTAATAGTTATTTACCCCCACTCTCCCCCCACTTTTCCCCATTATTATTTGATCTTTCTGATTTATATCCAATATTTTAGTTATCATCTCATAATAAGGAAACAACTCTGATCAGTTCTTTATCTCGGTCTGAATATCCTTTTTTTACTTAAAATAATAATCCTTTGATATAAGAAAAATGTGCTTAATGTGTACTTGCTCCTTCAGTGAAGTGGGAGAGGACTAACTTTTATAGCATGTACATTCTTGCCCAAACCCCTTTTATATGGAAAAGAAAATACATGTAATGCACATTTGATATCATAAGATATAGTAAACTGAAAGCTGGTGGATTGTTAATTATCTTCTTATAATCATAACATCAATGTATAAAAAATAACAGAGTTGTCTCCCATTTTTAAAATTGATAAGTCTGTCAACACTAAATTTATGATTGTATATATGTATGTATGTATGTATGTATGTATGTATGTGTGTGTGTGTGTGTGTGTGTGTGTGTGTGTGTGTGTGTGTGGTTATTATGTATGTATGTATGTATGTATGTATGTATGTATGTATGTATGTATGTATGTATGTATGTAATGTAAGGTATGTATGTATGTATGTATGTAATGTAAGGTATGTATGTATGTATGTATGTATGTATGTATGTATGTATGTATGTATGTATGTATGTATGTATGTATGTATGTATGTATGTATGTGTGTGTGTATGTAATGTAAGGTTTGTATGTATGTATGTATGTATGTATGTATGTATGTATGTATGTATGTATGTATGTATGTATGTATGTATGTATGTAATGTAATGTCTGTTTGTATGTATGTATGTATGTATGTATGTATGTATGTATGTATGTATGTATGTATGTATGTATGTATGTATGTATGTATGTATGTATGTATGTATGTATATGTGTATGTAATGTAAGGTTTGTATGTATGTATGTATGTATGTATGTATGTATGTATGTATGTATGTATGTATGTATGTATGTATGTATGTGTGGATGTATGTATGTATGTATGTATGTAGGTATGTATGTATGTATGTATGTATGTATGTATGAATGTATGTATGTATGTATGTATGTATGTATGTATGTATGTATGTATGTATGTATGTATGTATGTATGTATGTATGTATGTATGTATGTATGTATGTTTATGGTGTACTATATTTATATCTGACCACCACGTTGTCTTAGAAGAAGACTTATATAGGTTCCAGCCAGCCGTCTAATCCTATTGATTGTTTATATCAATACAATATTCTGAAATGAAAATAAAGGACACGGCAGACTCTTATACATCAACCGCTTACCTCCTACAAAGAAACCAACAGTGTTAAGTGTTGATATACAATAATGTGAGTCACAAGTACCTTTTTATTGATTACAGCGGTACCTATGTTACCTTCAGGGAGGAGATGAAACTTAAACACAAAATGAGATCCATTTGAATCACGAATCGTTGATATATTAATATTTTTGATAATGCTTCATCGTGATAGATTTTTATTATAAAAAGTTTATTTAGGTTAAGTGTTTGCCGTGTAGTTATTCACAAGAGTTTTTTGTCTTATTCTTGACCGACAAATTAGTAGAAAAACATCAAGAAAATACCATTATATGAACATAATCCAAACTCGAATAAAACCAGGGAAAATTCTTAACCAAAGAAAGCTTAACATGGGCAATGCTGAAAAAGCACAAGGAGACCAGTTGTTTCGTTGATTCATCGACGACACCCGTCATGTAAACCTTGGTAAATCCAAGTAAGTAATGTCACGTTCTCAAATGATAACAAGGTAAACAACAATGGACAACAGGCATTGCACGAAGAACTATAATGTATTCACACCGGAAAAAGGCTTGGTGGTAACGGTCTCAGATATCATTAGAATCATATTGAAGAGAAGCAAAGATGTTTAAAGATCCCTCAAAACCCAGCTAATCGCCATTAAAATTGGATCTGATTGTAAATGAGATATGTTTTTAATGGTTTCAAAAGATAAACATAGACAGACAAGTCTGTATTTTAATACCCATGTCACTTGGGCTGATTATATAATCAATCAATTAAAGATTATATTGATTAAAGAGTAGAATGTATTTGTTTTTTTCTTCGTTGTTATTGACACGATTGTACTAGAGGCACACAAGTGAATAGCACCTTTCGATACAGATTAAGAATTATATATATAGTAGAGCCAAAATATGAAGTAGACTGCATCATTCAACTGATTCGTCATTTAAAAAGCCTTCAAGGTAATATACCACATTTAAATGACGAAGATTCTAGTCAATGTAGATATTGTATAGACTAACTGTAATCACACACCGTGAACTGCCTTGATATTGTATAGACTAACTGTAATCACACACTGTGAACTGCCTTGATATTGTATAGACTAACTGTAATCACACACAGTGAACTGCCTTGAAGTCTATTTGTTTGATGTTCTACTATTAAGAAACTAATAGTTATAGAAAGATGAAACTTATGCTGATGTTCAGAAACGATACACTGCTTACTTTATATATCACGGTGTCAGAAAAGCAAACATTTGTGTACGTCAGCGGAGAAACATTACTAGCTATCTTAATCAAAATTTATTCAATTCACCAACCCCCCCCCCGGCCAACCACCCTTAATGAGTCTTGCCTGCTTATGTATTATAGAGGATTTCTGCCTCCAATGTCTTCTTTCAATAGGCAAAAACAACGTTTTATAATCTCTTAGAACAGAAAGAAATTTCTGCTCTTAATGGTGCTAGACCAAACCTTTCTACAAGGCTGTCTCGCTCTTGATGAAAATACAAATATATCTAAAGTGGACTTAATTCACGAATTATTAATCGCGTTTTTTAAATTATTCCAATATGTTTTGGTCTATGGGTGAATGTATTGAAAATTTAATTGTGCTGAAGTCTGAATATAGGACTGATGTTTGTGGTCAGATTAATAACTTTTAAAAATAACATGCGTTAAAACGTTATTTTTACATTTCCCATAAATACAAGTCATGCTTAATTTTTCGATAGCATATTTAGTTTCATCTTTCTATATATCATAATCAAGTTGATGTGTATTTTGTTAAAATTTCCAATGAAAGTGATTTCGTAGACTTTGCTTATTGCCCACTTCCTAGTATATTTAGATAATTCCAATAGAATAATTCTGTAACAAAATAGATATTTCTAAAGTTATTTACGTTAAAAGAACAGATCATGATATGAAGGGAAATATTAGAGTAAATACCAACATGTCAACAGGATCATAATCCATACACAAATTCAGAGCAAATGAGAGATTTACACGGAGAATGATGAAGGATCAAGGAGAACACCACCATGTGTTCCGGAAGAGTATGCGTCTTCTACTTCAACAATGGAACCAACAGGTGTACTAACGAACATCACATATGTGCAACTACATAACGCATGAGAAACTAAAGCTTTTGCAAAACCATTTTCATCAAATGCATCACTCGAAACCCTATGTTCATTTATCTGTCAATCTGTCAGTTTCCGATATCATGCATGAATATCGTGATATTGAGAATGAAAACATGAATATTGCGACATGCCAACACCATAGACTGGGAATGCAGGGTTGTTGCTATCCAGAAGTGGAACATTTACAGTAGGGAAATTGAATGTTAACATTTATACAGCTTGATCAAGACTGATCCAGTAGAGAAAAAAATTGGTAAGCGGCTGATGTAGATTATCCCAAATGTGGGCTGATGCATTATTGGGTGAAAGACAATCCATTTATATAATCGGTGGATCTTGGAATTGTTGCCTTTTGGAGTTCTACGTAATTAGCTGTTAGATTCACAGGGTAATCGGTCCTATTAGACTTTTTTTATAATGGTCTTTGCCTTTATGGTACACCCCTTTCATACCAGTCATGGTTAGTCTTTTCGATGGACGTATCACTCTCAGATGTTGCCGTTCCTTGGAATTCCATATCTTACCGGTTCAGAATTGACACATCTCTTCTATAAGGCTTTTTTATTGTCAAAATAAATTTGATTCAAGGAGTCAAGGTCACTGTTGACCAGGTAAGCTGGATGTTTTTTGTCTCTGCAGTAATTTGAGAATTTTTTCCATATCTAATGGAGTGTGTGCACTAAAAATTGGTCTGCACATCAGTTATATGCCAGAGTATGTAGCTGTGTTACTTCAGATGTGGAACTTTTCTGCAAAATCAGTGTTTTGAGAATTTTATTTTGGATCTGACATAAGCTCACCATGGCCATGGTCCAGTGATTTCAGCATACTGGCCACTGTTAACCATATATACCTATTAGATGAGCTACCCAGGTAACTTTACCTGTACATCTGTATAGAGATATACTGCTGGATATACTACTACTGGACACACATATCGGTGTATAAGTGTGATACTTGTGACATTGCTTCTGTCTTCTGTTCTAGAACTTTGTCTTTAATATCTTGTAATTATGACGTCAACTAGGAGTTCAAGTTCAGGTTCCAAAGGACCAGGAAACACAAAGGGTGCTCAGGGTTTTTCTGGAAGACCCAGTGATGTGACACGGAGGTTGTCAAGTGACGAGAAAATAGACAATATTTTCGAGATTGTGTCCACTCTGCAGCATGACATGAATGTGCAAATTAAATCTCTCCGTGAGGAAATTAAAGAGGAAAACAAAGAACTTGTTGAAAGACTTGGGGGCCGAATATTTGAATTAGAGGAACAAAACTCCAAACTGACACAGACTGTAGAAAGACTGGAACAAAAAGTGATAGAGTTAGAGGATAAACAATACCAGATTGCGTACAAACAGAACGATTTAGAGCAGCATGGGCGAAAGAACTCTATTAGAATTATTGGTCTAGAAGACACAGACAAGCATGAATCTGCTGAGGGATGTGTTAGTAAAATTGTAGGATTTGTAAAGTCCAAACTGAAAGTGAACATTCAGGAAAAAGACATTGATATTGCCCACAGACTTGACCCTTATCAGACAAACAAACCCAGGAGTGTTATCTGTAAATTTGTTTGTCGCCGAAAAAAGATTGAGGTGATTCGGAACAGGAAGGCTCTTAAGGGATCAAAGTGTTTCATATCAGAGGACTTGACCCAGGTCAATCAGCAAAAACTTAGGGATGCATTCCAACTCCCGTGTGTTGAAAGATCATGGAGTATGGATGGAAAACTTTTTGTGCTTCTGAAGAATGGTCGGAAAAGGAGACTTCAAAATGACACTCCCTTATGTGAAAAGTTCCTGTTGGATGACAAAACCTTTCCGCGATTCTGAGGTGGATGGGTATGTGACTATGTGACACGTCTGTATCTGTGAAATCAGTGACACTATATATGTACATTGATAATCTTGTAAAGTGAAATGAATAATCATAATTTCATTATATACATATCGATCTAACAGATATAGATAAGGCACATGTGTTGTTTAAGTAAGTAATAATTAAAAGAGTATGACAATCATGGCACAATTTTGGGCGAGCCTGTAATGTGACGGAAATCGTAGACTGTTTTTCCGGATCCGGAAGTGTGTTTTTATAACGATGCTGAAAACATCCGGTCGCATTATTATTGTGTGATGGAACATGTAGATCTGTACAATGTCAGGTGAAACTAAATGATGTATTAGATAACGTGGTCCATATGTATGGTTGACAGTGTGCCATTATGCCTTGGTTACACTTTTTAGATGTGTTTTTGTGTTTTTTCCTGTCTTCTCTTACCTGTCTTTATTCTCTCTTTGCAATATCTGTCTCTCTCTATTTCAGGACATGTACAACAGTTATACATTATCTATTTGAATAGCTTTTTATTCCTGTTCTCTCTAACTGGGCTAGGTATGAAAGATTGGAATTATAATTTTACATAATGGAAGGGCTAACAATTCTTTCTGCTAACTGCCAAGGTCTAGGAGATAGAATGAAAAGAAAAGATCTGTTTTCATACTTGAAATCTAAAAATTATGGTATATATTGTCTTCAAGACACACACTTTATATATGAAAACCAAAATATTATTAGAAGCGAGTGGGGTTTTGACTGTTATTTTAACTCATTCAAGTCCAATGCTAGGGGGGTGGCAATCTTATTAAATAACAATTTTGAAATAAAGGTTAAAAAGGAGAAAAAAGACTTATCAGGGAATTTTTTAGCTCTGGATATAGAATTAGAGGGTACAAAAGTTACGCTAATTAATTTGTATGGCCCCAACAATGATACACCTAGTTTTTATGACACTTTATCTGATACGATAGACAATTTTGGTAATGATAAATTTATAGTATGTGGGGATTTCAATCTTGTACTAAATCCCGAATTGGATTATGATAAGAGTTACAGAAATATTAATAACCAGAAAGCCAGAGAGAAAGTTTTAGAATTTATTGAGAATTATTCTGTAGTTGATATCTTTAGAGAATTAAATCAAGAAAGTAAAAGATATACATGGCGAAAGAAAAACCCTTTAAAACAGGCAAGGTTAGATTTCTTTCTTGCCTCACAAAATTTATTGTCTAGTATCCAAAAATCAGCCATCGAATCTGGATATAGATCTGACCACTCATTTCCTATAATTGTTTTAAAATTTAATGAATTTAGAAGGGGGAAAGGGCTTTGGAAATTTAATTCATCTCTCTTATATGATCAAGAATATCTTAATATGGTAAAACAACTTATTCTGGATGTAAAAGTACAATATTGCCTGCCAGTTTACAACATTAACAACATAAGTAATATTCCAGATGCAGATTTAACTTTTATGATCGATGATCAACTTTTTCTGGAAACACTTCTAATGGAAATTAGGGGCAAAAGCATTTCTTACTCTTCTTATAAAAAGAAACAACAAAATAAGCACGAATTTAATTTGAAAAAAGTGATACAAGAATTAGAAGAACAAGAAGGTGTAGATTTAGAAGAATTAGATAGCAAGAAAAAGGAACTAGAAAGCTTGAGACTTAAAAAAGTAAATGGAAGTATTATAAGGTCTAGGGCCAGATGGCAAGAAGAAGGGGAAAAGCCAACTAGTTATTTTTTGAGTTTAGAAAACAGAAATTTTACCTCCAAGATCATCCCTAAGATACAGAAATCAAACATTACTATTACCGATCAGGACGAAATATTAGAAGAAGTACGCTCTTTTTATGAAAAATTATATTATGACAGTCATGATACCGAAGACATAGACTTGCATGATTTTACAAACTCATTTGTGGTTCCAAAATTAGATGATATTCAATCTGAAAGTTTAGAAGGGTTACTTACTTTGGGAGAAGCAGCAATAACATTAAAAAATATGAAAAATAATAAAAGTCCTGGTTCCGATGGTTTTACTGTAGAATTTTTTAAGTGTTTTTGGAAACAATTGGGTGTTTTTATTGTTCGGTCCATAAATTGTGGGTATGATAAAGGTTCACTATCTGTAACTCAGAGACAAGGAATTATTACATGCATTCCCAAGGGAGATAAGCCTAGACAATACTTAAAAAATTGGCGACCCATATCATTGTTAAATATTGTATATAAAATTGCTTCAGGATCTATAGCAGGTAGAATAAAAAATATTTTAAATACATTAATCAGTGATGATCAAACAGGATTTATTGCGGGTAGATATATTGGGGAAAATACTAGATTAGTTTATGATATCATGCAATTTACTGAGGAAAACAATATTCCAGGTATGTTATTAATGATTGACTTTGAGAAGGCTTTTGATTCAGTGTCATGGGAATTTATATCTAAAGTCTTAACATTTTTCAATTTTGGTTCTAGTCTGAGAAACTGGGTGAAAGTTTTACACACAGATGTTTATTCAACTATCAATCAAGGAGGTAATTTGTCCTCTTTTCTAAGTATTAAAAGAGGTTGTCGCCAAGGCGACCCAATCGCCCCATATATTTTTATTTTGTGTGTGGAAATACTTTCCATAAGGATAAGAAACAATAAGATGATTCAGGGTATAGGGATAAATAATAGTCCAATCCTAATTTCTCAATATGCAGATGATACGTCTCTCATATTAGATGGTACTGAAAGATCTTTGAAAGAATCCATTGAAGAATTAAATATATTTGCGAGAATTTCTGGTTTAAAATTGAATATAGATAAAACACAGGTGATCTGGATAGGAAGTAAAATTTATAGTGAAGATATGTTTTTACCTGAATTAAATTTACAGTGGGGAAAGAATAAGTTTACTCTCCTTGGAATAGAATTTAGTGTTAACCTGCATGAGATCCCCAAATTGAACTTTGATAAGAAAATAATTAAATTAAAATCACTAATTAAAACATGGAGTAGAAGAGTACTTACTCCAATAGGGAGAATTCAGCTAATTAAATCTCTGTTGTTACCTCAATTTACTCATTTATTTATCTCTTTACCAAATCCAGACAATCAATTTTTGATTAGGTTAAATAAAATGCTTTTTCAATTCTTGTGGAATGGGAGTTCTGATAAAGTTAAGAGGGATATCATAACCCAAGAATATTACAGAGGGGGTCTCAAAATGGTAAATATAAGATCCTTTATAGATTCGCTTAAGCTAAGTTGGTTAAGGAGGCTGTATCAAAAGTCTGGAAAGTGGCAAATCATTTTAAATACATATATTGACCTACATAAGCTTTCAAATTGTGGTAATGAGTATATTAAACTATGTCAAAATAATTGTAAAAATGATTTCTGGAAGGATGTCTTTCTGGCATGGACAAGATTCAATAGTTTAAGTGGTGTAAAGCAAACATGGGAAAAGTTCATCTTTAAAGCTCCATTATGGTACAATGAGAGTCTAACTATTGGGGGGAAAACTATATTTTATAAGGAATGGTATAAAAGGGGGGTTATTGTTGTGAATGATTTAATAAAAGACAGTGATACTCTCACTTTCTATACTTTTGAGGAATTTTTCCACTTATATCAAATAAACACAGATTTTCTTACATACCGTGGTATCTTATCTTCTATAAAATCATATTTAGGTCAAGTTGATCTTGAAAATACTAGGGCAGTTTCAATTGAATATCCTTTTATACCCATCAATGTTTATTTTTTCATAAAAAAGATGAAAGGGTCTAAAGATTTGTATAATCTTATGATTAAAAACGATATTATTACCTCTGGCAGAAAAAAATGGGAGGATAAGATCCAATTAAATAATTTGCAATGGGAAGAAATCTACAAAATTCCTTTTAAAGTAACTAAAAATACAAAACTACAATGGTTTCAATATAGATTAGTCCATCACATTCTGACAACGAACTCCTTTATCTACAGATTAGGTTTAGTTGCCAGTCCACTCTGTCCCTTATGCAATGTAGAACAGGAAACCATAATCCACATCATGTGGGAATGTCAGGAAGTACAAAATTTTTTACAAAGTCTTGAAGTACTTCTAGAAGCACTTGTTATTCCTTTTGCTTATAATAAAGAAAAATTTCTCTTTGGATTTTCATTACAACATCAAATGCTTACATCAGCAAAAATTGACAATGTAATACTAATAATTATTAAGAATTATATCTATAAGACTAGATGCTATCATAGAAGATTAAACATTAATGCATTTGTAAATTTTATCAAAGAATACTACTCTGTTCAGAAATATATAGCAAATAGTCAAGGGGACTCCAAAAAGGTCAGATTTGAAAATGAAAATTGCATAATAATTTGTGCAGGTAAATATACTTCACTGTAAAATGAAAACCCTTAATAATCTATGATTTATGATGTGTCTATTGTTGTATGAGTATTTTCAGACATAATGTATGTAAACATTTTACAATCTGCACTAGGATAACTTGATTATGCTGAAATAACTGCATGCATTATATAGACCGATGTAGTTTCATTTTACTGTGTAGTATCAATACTGTAGTCTTCCCTCAGTTGGTTTTACTCTCTGATGCTGTATAATAACATTATAATTACTAGGCCAATATAGTAAATATATATATATAGATATATATATATTTTCACCCTTTCTCTTTCAATCATACTCCTAGTTTTCATATACCTACATCATAAAGCTTTACTCATACATGTATATATAAATGTTACTTGATGAACCATTCAATAGTATGTGTACTTAATACTACTTAATGATACTATCTTAATATTCATGATAAAATCTTCACCAGCTCAAAATTTCTCCAGGACTAGCAGACTTTACAAAGAATAAAATGACCTTTCATTG